TGTTCATCAAATGATCATTATGGATTTTAAGGTTTTTAAATTGTTTCTTTAAATTGACAAAGTTTGGGTTGCACTGTCATCATGGCCATAGGACCTAAATGGTAGCAGAAAATCTTCAGCTCAAAAGGAACCCTATATTGTATTTAAAGGAGTACTGAATTCTGGGTTATTAAATAAGGAACGTTGTATTTTTCTTTTGCACCATGATCATAGATTCTGAATGGTGGCATTTATTTCTTCACGAAACTTGGATTTTTGGAAGTAGGAAAAAAAAAACATAGAGATTATCGTAGGCAAAGCGAACAGTCCACTTCCAGAGAATTGTCTGAAGTACCAAATTTAAGAGGGGGGATTCCTTCCCCGTATTCTATTCTCTGCCTTTTAGCTCCTCCACACAGGATAAAGGAAAGGGCAGAGAGTGCCTTACTGTTGAAAAGCATCCTGTGTTTGTCTTTAATGTGTTCTGCCCTGCTGCCTATAGACATCGGGCCTTCTTTCAAAAGGCTTTTAAGAGCTCATGTTAAATTCTTCAGTCTGCTCTCCTCTGGTTTATGTATTTGCTTCTAACATACATGACGGCTCACATAACAGCATGTGGATTTATCGCTCTGCAGACAGCAAGGTCAATCCTTGAGTTTTTAAAGTTGGGGTGCTTTTAATTCACTTAATGCCTTTGTAAAACACATTAGCATGTTCCACAAATAAATATAAAGAATGTGTCTTATGTGTTAGTGTCTATAAAACTAATAGAACGTACACAGAGAGTTACTATGGAGGGTTGTGACTTACTGATTTAAAGCACGTGTTTCCTGTGAAATTTTTCAGTACATTGTACCTTTTTTTCATCTTTCTTTTTTCTTTGTTTGCTTGTCTTGATACTATGGGTTATATTTGTCCCTTATAGCTTTTAAATAGGTTGTTCCGTGTTCTTACTCTTAGCTCAAATATTTTACTTTTCTAAGAATCTTTTCATGTTTTCCACTCAGTGAGGAGGAAAGGGAGGTGGAAGGAAGAGATTTGTCTCTTCATGAGGAATAGGAAGCCACAAGAAAGTTGCAGTTCCCCTTTCTTTGTTTTGGCACATGGCTCAAGTCTTCACCAAGATACTTTGATAATTAAGTCTGGGCACGGTGGTACCCAGTTGGAATCCGGACATTCAGGAGGCAAAGGCAGGAGGATCACAAATGCAGGTCAAATTCTGAGACATAGCAGAGCTCTAGTTCTCAAAAACAAAACAACCCCAGTACCCAGGAGACAGGGACAGAGGAATCAGAAGTTCAGGCCAGCCTCAGTAGCCTTGTGAGCTCAGGGTAGGCTGCTGGCAGTTCAATACCTAATAAGTAGATAACTAAACACAGAACGTGGTGAAAACCCAGAGTTCTGATAATGATAAATTATACCAACTAAGCTGCTTCAAGTGGTCATGTGATCTAGATGTTCTTTCAGTTACTGTTAAGTTTCACATATATGTGTGACTTCCTTCTGTGGGTTTTAAAGCCCTTGGCTTTTGATCTCGTAGGTAGTTACCATGGCAGAATTACTTTTACGTGTGGCTCGGCCTCACTGTCTCTGCCGGAAAGGACCACTCCTCTCCTCCGTGTCTATGGAAGTCAGAGATGATGCCATGGTGCTTGGCCCAGGATAGATAGTGTCACTGACATGAGAGGCAGTGGGACCGAAGGCACCGTGGAGGTGAAGAGCATGCCGTGTTCTAGCCTGATGTGTGTGAGTCAGGAGAACAAGAAGGGTTTATGGTGGCTCCAGGATCCTGTGTTGGCCTGTAAACTTAGAAGGCTGAGGGAAAAGTGGCCTTTCTGAATGCAGGAAAAGACATTGTAGCTAACGTTGGACCTGACGGCACCTCCCAAATGTCCAGATTCTGAGTCTGAATTAACAGCGGGATGGACACATGTTGAGGGGAGGAGTTGGGATTTCATAGAGAATGGCAACCACTAGTCACATGTGTAAGGTTGAAACTGAACTGACTTAAGTTTGAGGTTACTAATGACCTGGACTGTGTTCAAAACTAGCTGAGCAATACAAGTGAGTAAGCCCCATAGCAATGTTCCTTCGTGGTTTCTACTTAAGTTCCTTCTCAAGCCCCTGCTCTGACTGCCCTCAGTGACGGACACCTGGAAGTAGGGACCAAACAATCTCCTTCTCCCCACGTTGCTTTCGGTCATGATGTTTATCACAGGCAAGAGTTACCATTGTTTTATATTTCTATTTTCTTTGCGCCTTCACAGAAGCCCGTTCCCCCGTAGCAGTAGAAATCAGCAATTAGTTTGGACAAAGGAATAGGCGGCGCTAGAAAATGGCGATGTGTCAGCACATTTCATTCTCTGTAGCACACATCAATGCGCCTCCGCTATGTGCAGCGGAGTATGACCTCACAGCCCCGTGGCATCCCTCTGCTAAGGCCTTCCGTGGCTTGCATAGCTCTTTTGCATCTCAGAGGCCCTTTTCATTGCCATTCCTGGACAGGTGGTATCCTAGATTATCTCCCCTCCAAGATCTCAGCGTCTCTGTGGCACAGAGACAACGACAAGCAAGAGTGGTGAGATTCGTCAAAGTGCTTTAGCTGAGGAGCAAGTGAGACTAAATAGCAACAAACACCAAGATCACCTTCCGACCTAGTTTCATTTCTGATGCTGCAATAAATACCCCGAGGAAAAAAAGCAATGTATGGAGAAAGAGTTTGTTTTAGATCATAGTTTAAGATTACAGTCCATCCTTGATGGGTGAAAATAGAGGCAGGAACCTGAAGCAACAAGTCATGTTTACAGTCAAGAGGAAAGAGAGAATGAGTGTATCGTGCTTAGTGCTCAGCTAACTTTTTCTGTTCTTCTGTAGTCAAGGACCCAAAGCCAGGAAATGGTGCTCCCCACTTTTAAGCTAGGTCTTCCTGTATCATTTAAGGCACTCAAGACAACCTCCTGCCCAACACATACAGAGAGAGAGAGAGACAGACAGACAGACAGAGAGACAGAGAGACAGAGGCACAGAGAGAGAGGCACACAGGCCAGCCTGGTTAAGACAATCCCTCACTGAGACTCTCTTCCCGGCTGATTCTGGATTGAGTAGACAGAACAAAACTACCACACTTTCTGAATGTAGATCTTCTCTTCCAGTTCTAGTTCGACAACTGTAAAATGCTTCAGTATTTACTTCAACTGACACCAACAAATTAGCAGAAACTCAGTAGGAAGGCCAAGCAAAGAGAGCAGGACATCTTTATTGGCAGCCAGCAAGACCCCGGTTCTTGTTCACACTAACGGTTCTGCCTGTTGTGCTGTGTGTTAGTTCCGTTTCTGACAAAGTGTGGGGGCGGGAGTAACACAGAGCCAGCTGTTTAAATGATTGTCTAGAAGACTCCGTGATTTGCTCGGCTACACCACCAAGCAATGGTCACACCATGTTCCCTTCAGTGGTGGACAGTACTTCTGGAGGCATTTAGGCTAAGAGCGGCATGAACCTCACCCTAAAGAGCAATGTGGTCCAGTGGTATAGTACCACCCAGCCAACTCTAATTGAGGTGGGAGCCCCACAGACAGAGACCAGGGCTTCCTGTTTTTAACTGGCGTGCAGGCTTTGCCTCTGGAGCATGCCTGCCCAGTTCTGGTGGTGAAAATTTTCCACAAGACTCATTGGGTAGGAGAAAAACCAGTCATTTAAATTCACAAATTGAGCTTGAGAGAGAGAAAAAAAAAAAAAGCTTAAAAGAGAGGACACCCAGAGAGCGTTTGCCCACATCAAAAAGAAGGCTATGGCTGGCCTTGGAAAAGCACACACTTTTTCTGAGGGTTTTATTTAAATTCATTCTCTAGTCATCCGCGTGATCTTGTACAGGTTATTTTTACAAAGAAGAAGAAAAAGCACTGTTGAGTTGTTGGAGGAATGCTCTAAGACCATGGACAGAAAAAGGCTGGCAGAGCACCTGATAGCTAAAGGAGACCCATAGGCCTTCACTTACCAGGGGTCATACCATGTGTAGAGGATCAGATGCCTTTTTAGGGTGAAATCCCTTATACTCCACATAGTGACCCTATTAGGATTTATTTTATTTTTAACTATGTTGATAATGTGTGAGTGTGTTTGTGTGAGTGTCCATGAATGCAGGTGCACAGTGTTGGTGTATGAGTGCACGTGGTTGCAGGTGCCTGCAGAGGCCAGTAGAGTGTGTTGGCTCCCCTGAAGCTCTTGTTAGTTACAGGCGGTTGTGAGCCATCCAGCAAGGATGCTGGGGACTGGAGCAGGGTCTTCTGCAAAGGCAGTGTGCTTTTCAGCTGCTGTGAAACCCCACTGAGACTGTGCAGTAAGTGACAGGTAACTCTGACTGGGATATGCTATGATTCAGGGGTGTGCTTATTCTGTGCTGAGCTTCAATCATATAGGTTTATAAGTCAGTTTATGATCAGTATAGACACGCGCGCACACACACTGAGTCTGTGTGTGTGTGGGGAGGTGGAGGTGGGGTGTGTGGGTGTGTGCATGTGTTTGCGTGTGCTCTTGTGTGGGCATGGGTGGTGGAGGTCAAAGGACAACTCTGTGGATTCTGCTCTCTTTATCTACCGTTGCATGTCTTCCAGGGGTTGCATTTGAGCCAGCAGGCTTGCTCAGCAGGTGGCCTGTACCCACGGAGCCATCTTGCTGGCCCAGTTGTCTTCCTTTTAAAGACATTTCTTCATCGATGGCAATACATCTACTTGGTTTTTATGTGATTATGGAAGGTGTCAAGTTAGGTTTTTCAGCCTCTGTCTACTCTAGTTTTGATCCTAGGAAGGTTAATGTTTTAAAGTTAATGTTAAGTTAAGGTTAATGTTTTAAAGTGTTTCTGGTAGCCCTTTTAAATCAATTCGTAACATCCTTAGGAACAAGAAATGACCCAACCTTGGGACCAAAATGACATGCAAATATCTTTGAAATGTTCAGCAAGATCTCTGCAGTTCCTGGGTCTGGCTGGTGTGCTGACCTCTTGATTTTTGTCTCACCTTCTACAGATTTTGACACAAGGCAAGAATCCGGGGGTCACTTGGAAGTACGCACTCCCCAAGGGCGTGAATGTCACTCAGCCTGCCTCAAAGAGATACCAGCACACCTGGCGCACAGTGCAGTCTGACTGCTCAGTCTCCTGTGGGGGAGGTAATTGGCTCCCTAACTCTGCTTCCCAGCTCCTCTCTGCTCACAGGTTTTATCCAGTCTATGGAAGGACACCGTGACCTTTTGGGAACCTCGGTGCTGTTTTAGATCCATGCCTCCAGAAAACTTTTTTTTTTTTTTTAAGTGGAGAGGTGCAGCTGATTGCCATTGCCAGTCATTAAACTGAGAGTGACATTTGAGTTGTGTCTCAGACACTGTTTCAGGGAAAACCACATAAATGAAAAACAGAACAATCAAGGTCAAGGTAGTATTTATTCCTTGTCTGAGGAGCTAAACATCATATTCACCAAATAAATAAATAAATAAATAAATAATTAAATAAATGTGCCTCTGATGGGAAATTTTAAACACCAGGAATCAGGCTGCATGGTTCTGCTAAGACAAACATTTGCAAAAAGCATAGTCATAGCTGGTAGGTGTGAATGGATATCCAGAGCTCAAGCTTTTGCCTCTACGCACATAGGATGCTTCCTGGTGAAGTAGAATGTATTAGGGTTTCACATGTACCTCACTAGTGGCCTAATTATTATGTGTGCAAGCATTTTGCCTATGTGTAGATATGTGTGCTACATGTGTGTAGTGGCCACAGAGGGCAGAAGAAGATGGCAGAACTCCCTGGAACTGGCATTGCAGAAGGCTGCAAGTTGTTGCATGGCTGCTGGGAATCAAACGCCAGTCCTCTTGAGACAAGAGCAGCAACTGCTGAGCCATCTCTCCAGGCACTCGCTAGTGCTTTATAGATATAATTGTCTCCCAGTTAGACCCATACAATTTATGTTAAAGCTTCCTGGAATGTTTCACTTTATAGTTGCTCTGTTTCAAACAGTACTTATCATTTGATGGCCATAGAATCCACTTGAAAATGAAAACCATAAATTAAAATTACTGAAGTATAAAATAGTATAAAATCTATTATCTTGGGGATAAATGGAATTCAAATGAGTTGCAATTGTACCCAAAGGAACCATTTTCACAATGTATGTAGAGTCATTGTCTTAAATAGGATACAAGAACACTGACCAAACCCAAACTAAGCTTGGAAACCTAAATAAATGGGTTATCTGAATTTCTCAGTGTGTAACTTCTGGCATCTTATTAGGTTACATAAGCATCAAGGCCATTTGTTTACGGGACCAAAACACTCAAGTCAATTCCTCGTTCTGCAGTGTAAGAACCAAGCCAGCAACAGAACCCAAGATATGCAATGCTTTCTCCTGCCCAGCCTAGTAAGTCATCTGCAAATATCTCCTTGCTCGTGTGTCCTCCTTGTTACTGTTAAGAGATAATGAAAAGCCTCCTGCTCATACTTCTGATAGGGATTCAAAAATGAGCACAGTGTTTAATATAAGTATAGGAGAAAATGGTTGAAGTTGAATCATAGGACCTAAAAATATGAATTTGCCTTAGACACTCACTCACATTTTGCTGTGGAAGATTGAGATATAAAGGTGTCTGTCTCCAGGACCTTCTTTTCCCTCAGTGTATCCAGGCACTGTTACAATCGGGGCTGGAATGGAGGGAATGAAGTTTAGCCTGGTGGGTGGGTTAGGCATGACTTTCCTCAGTGTGAGTACGGGAGAAATAGCTTTCTCCAGAGACAGTCTTCAGTGAAACAGCTTTCTTTATTGGGAGCGGGGGACACAAGGGCTATCTAAACCTTTGGGAGTGGGGAGAGGTTTTGGTGGTGGGTATACACTATTGGCTAAGGGCTGAGGTGCTGGGAATGCTTCATTTGCAGGTAGAGGAATTCCAGGTGTTTGCTGGACATGTCCTTATGAGAGAGGAAGTTTAACTTGAATCCTGGTCACCAGGCTATGTGACCACCTCAAGGGCAGCATATGTGGGGGTTGTAAGTCTTACTCGTGTGGGGACATGCAGGCCCAGAGCAGGGAGAAAGCAGCTACTCCTGCCTGTCTCAGGATGAAATTTCCGGGGTTTGGATACATATTGACCTCACTCTTGCTCCAGACCAGTATCACGGCTTTCCTAGCCCCACAGGGTTTTTGTTGTTGCTGTTTTTGTTATTTATTTATTTAATTTTATTATTATTTACATTTTATTAACTCTGTATCCCAGCTGTATCCCGCTCCCTCATCTCCTCCCTGTCCCACCCTCCCTCCCTCATCTCCTCCCTGTCCCACCCTCCCTCCCTCATCTCCTCCCTGTCCCACCCTCCCTCCCTCATCTCCTCCCTGTCCCTTTCCAAGTCCACTGATTGGGGAGGACCTCCTCCCCTTTCATCTGATCCTCTTTTATCAGATATCTTCAGGACTGGCTGCACAGTCCTCCTCTGTGGCCTAGCAGGACTGCTCCTCCCTTGCAGGGTGGAGAGGTCAAAGAGCCAGTCATTGAGTTCCTGTTAGAAATAGTCACTGTTCCCCTTACTATGGGAAGCCAGTTGGTTACTTATCTACCACGGACTACATCTGAGCAGAGGTTCTAGGTTATATCCATACATGATCCTTGGTTGAGTGTCAGTCTCAGAAAAGACCCCTGTGCCCAGATATATTTGGTCCTTGTGGAGCTCTTATCCTCTCCACAACATACTAACTCCCCCTTCTTTCATATGATTCCCTGCACTCTGCAGAAGGTTTGGTTATGAGTCTTAGTATCTGCTTTGATACAGTGCTAGGTAGAGTCTCTCAGAGGCCCTCTGCGGTAGCCATTTTTACTATGTTAATCCTGCCAATCCATGAGCATGGAAGATCTTTCCATCTTCTGATATCTTCTTCAATTTCTTTCTTCAGAGACTTAAAGTTTTTTCAAACAGGTCTTTCACTTGCTTGGTTAGAGTCACACCAAGGTACTTATGTTATTAGTGGCTATTGTAAAGTGTATTGTTTCCCTGATTTCTTTCTCAGCCCTTTTGTCTTTTTATACAGGAATACTACTGATTTTTTTTTAGTTGATTTTGTATCCTGCCGCTTTGCTGAAGGTGTTTATCAGCTGAGGAGTTCTCTGGTTGAATTTTTGGGGTCAGTCATGTATACTATCATATCATCTGTGAATAGTGACACTTTGACCTCTTCCTTTTTGATTTGTATCCCCTTGATCTCCTTGAGTTGTCTCATTGCTTTAGCTAGGGCTTCAAGTACTATGTTGAATAGATATGGAGAGAATGGGCAGCCTTGTCTTGTCCCTGATTTCAGTGGGATTGATTTGAGTTTCTTTCCATTGAGTTTGATGTTGGCTTGCTGTATATTGCCTTTACTAGGTTTAGGTATGTGCCTTGTATCCCTGATCTCTCCAAGACTAAACATGAATGGGTGTTGGACTTTGTCAAATGCTTTTTCGGCATCCAAAAATGTGGTTTTTCTCCTTCAGCTTGTTTATGTGGTGGATTACATTGATGGATTTCCATATGTTGAACCACCCTTGCATGCCTGGGATGAAGCCTACTTGGTCATGGTGGATGATATCTTTGATGTGTTCTTGGATTTGGTTTGCAAGGATTTTATTGAGTATTTTTCAATCAATGTTCATAAGAGAGATAGGTCTGAAGTTCTCTTTTTTTGTTGGGTCTTTGTGTGGTTTAGGTATCAAGGTGACTGAGGCTTCATGGAATGAGTTTGGTAATGTTCCTTCTGTTTCCATTTTAGGAACAGTTTGGAAAGAATTGGAGTTAGCACTTCTTTGAAGGTCTGGTAGTATTCTGCACTGAATCCATCTGGCCCAGGTGTTTTTTGGAAGGGAGACTGTTGATGACTGTTTCTATTTCCTTGGGGGATATAGGACTATTCAATCTTGCTACCTTTTCTTGAGTTAATTTTGGTAGATGGACTCTATCAAGAAAATTGTCCATTTGTTTTGTTTTTTTGTTTGTTTGTTTGTTTTCATTGACAGCAGTAAGTATCGAACCTAGGCCCTCATGCTTTCCAAGGAAGCCCTCTACAACTGAGCCACAGCCTTTCCCCCAGTTTTGACTTTTGAAGGGCCCACCCTCTTTCCAGAATGGACTCAAGCAGATATTTAAATGGCACACCATCCTATATTAGTTAAATTTAAAGTGTGACTGTATGCTTAACTTTTGCTTAGGTCATCCAAGAATGTAGGAATTACAGTAACGCAGACTGTGAAACCTCAAATGCAAATTGCACAGTAGTAAGATGCAAACTAGCAAGGTGAAAGCCAAGTGGTGACTCCCCCACTGACTGTCCCTCAGGGGTAGTACTCAGTGGGTTTCTTCTCAGACTCATTTAACCACACCACGATTGGAAGATGAATCTAAGTAAGTTTCCTGGCCAACTAGAGTCTCCTCTGAGGTGATTTATCTTAAGCCAAGTAGACTTACATAAAGCAGTGGTGAAGTCAACAGTGTTCACATCATTTTAATAAGGGGTACTGACTTTGTGGTAACACAGTTTGTGTGTGTGTGTGTGTGTGTGTGTGTGTGTGTGTGAACTTATGTGTATAAACTAATATTTCACTTTTTCACAATTGTTTGGGGTTTCAGATACCCACCAATCCTGCACATCCACTTTCTCTCTGAGATTCTGAATCTAACTGAACCATGACTACAAAGAGAAGAAAGAAATAGGGCATGGGGGAGGGGTTCCATAAATTTTCCTCTTTCCCAAGAAATAAGCAGTTCTAAGAATTACCTTAGTGGCCCCAGGATGCATTTAACAGAAAGTGTTCTTAACTCTCGTGTGCACATTTGTTCTTTGGGGTAATGGATATAGTACGTACACTAATGTATACACACGGAATCGAAGCACTGATTGGCGAGATGAGAGTTTCCTGAAGTCAGGATTTCTTCCTATCATTGGTTAGACCGTCCAGCAAAAAGAAAGGGACTCTTCCACATGTACGTCTGCGTAAGGAGCATGCTGAGGTCATTCACAACTTCTTGACTCCCCAGAAAACTGTGTGATGTCCTGTGAAGAGCAAGCCTGTTGTCTGGAATCAGATCAACTCCTTGCAGGGTCTGCAGAGTGAAACTGGTGTCCTGTGAGAGCTCTTCTATTCTCTCCCTCTGTGTTCCACCCATGCACAGTGTTGTAATTGTTCTTTCCCAAGGATAGACTAGAAAGGAGGATCTCGACCCTGAGAACTGTAAGGACAAAGGAGTTACCCGATCTGCCTCTGTCATTTCTATGTGCATCTGCCATAAGGACTCAGTGTCTGTCAGGCTCTGAGCTCACCAGCGTGGTGTGCCGGTGACAGGACATGGCTGCCTCATCAGCAACAACCTCCTATGGGGGGATGGAAATGATGGGTAAGCACAGAAGGGCTGAGGTGCAAGGCCCTGAGCTAAAAAAGGTTAGGTATGAAAGAGCAGTAAGGGACAAAATGGACAGCCTGAAGTCTGTACCTGGAGGAGAAGTCAGTTGGAAATGTAGCCTGGAAATCGGATGTGAAAGGCCAGGCATGCCACCCAAAAGTGCTGTGTGATGCCTTTTCTAGTATATGTACAAACCCATCGTATTTGTCACAGAATAAAAGAAACTTGAATTTGATCGGAAACACTATACTTTATAAGCAAATAGTGAAACAAGTAATTTCATATACTATGTTTAAGATTTTGTAAGGTATAAAAATTATATAAATATGAGGAATTATTTTGATACATTTGCTTTTAATTACAAAACAGGATGGTGTAGACTCTGTGATATTTTGGGGAATAATCCTAGCACTTCCATACTGAAGTCTGTAGGCGGAAGGGCCTTAGTTTTACCCACAAGGCTTATGGTGGAAACCGGAGGGGTGGGACGTTAGATTAAGAAAGGTGACTAATTCTGGAGGTCTAACCAAAGCACAGTTGGCTACTGATTTGTCTTAGTTTCTAAAAATAATCAGTACTTGTATATATTTGTATCCAAGGTAGGTTGTAGACATCACTGCTTTGAGTCAAATGTGTAGCAGCCACATCTGTAGTTTCTTTCCTTTTTTTCTAATATTTGTAGTCATACCATTTTAGTCAGTCAGAAGTAATTAAAGGATTCGTAGCTGCGGTGGAGGCATTCATACACCGTGGCTTAGACAGTTCCGGAAAAGCTTGTCTGGTGATCTTTAAATAAATGACGTGAGGTTAGATCTCTGACCCCTCCATAAATTGCAATACCAACTAGTGAAGGAGTGTGGGGAACCGCCCACTTAGAGACAGCTTCTGCAAAGTTTCCTTCCACTGAACATCATCTCTCTCCTGTGTAGGCATGCACCTCTCCCCCGGGCTGCTCACTCTTCCGCTACCCTTTCGGTTGTACTTCATGTTAATGGGAGTCACAGTGCTTATCAGCTAGCCTGGTCTTGATGCACATATCCACAGTGTCACAGACTTCCTTAGAAGGTGACCTCATTCGTCTCTCCAACGCCAGTGCTTGGGTCCCTGACGCGGAAGTAAAGGCTCAGTACATTTGCTTGGATGAATTGCTCAGAAAGTAGAATATGTTTCTTTCCACCAAGAAGGCTAGAATGTATCTTTTCCTAGAGCTTTGTTGTGATTAAATGTGTCTCCTCGAGGCACCCCTGCTCCCCTAACGGGTGTATGATTCAACATCGATTAAAAAGAAAAAAGCTAGTGGGTGTTGGCCTGATCGGTTATTAGACGGATCAGAGGCTTTTCCTAGGCAGTCTTTCCCATCAGCGGCTCGGGAAGTGGTACTATAAAGCCTTGGCTTTACAGGATGTAATTTTGGTTCTCTCCGAAAGCTGGCTGCCAGGAGAGTGGAGCGCGTGCAGCAAGTCCTGCGCCGGAGGCCAGCAGAGCCGGAAGATACGGTGCGTGCAGAAGAAGCCTTTCCGGAAGGAGGAGGCTGTGCTGCACTCCCTCTGCCCCGTGAGCACGCCCACGCAGGTTCAAGTCTGCAACAGCCATGCCTGCCCTCCAGAGTGGAGCTCCGGGCCCTGGTCTCAGGTACCAAGCACTGCTTTGAAGCGCTGGTCTTTGGTCTGCATGAAAAACCAAGGTGGTGAAAATTCAGGTGCAGCCCAAGGGCCGCCCAGGTAGATCCATCTTCCCAGTGAATTAATGAATTAGTGAATTAATCATTTTGGCTAGTACCTTTTCAGTGGTTCTTTTCTGACCCGAGGAGCGTCGACTCCTCCTTAGTGGTCCAGAAATTAGCAGGAAGATCATTTAGGAGAGCCTAACAAGGCAGATAGAAAGGGGTTGACAGACTGGCCCATCAGTTCCAGAGACAGGGATCCACGTGTGAAGGCACTTGCCACCTGAGAACAAGCCCCAGGACCCACACAAAGACACAGAGTTAATCGTGACATAAGTGAGAATTCACAGTGGTCCTCTAAGCCCATCTAGGAGCAAACCCCATTTTAAGGTACTAGAGGCCACATCTCATCTAGTTCTTTACAAAGGTCAACATGGTGCTGGAGCCCTCCAGGACCATCCCTGTCGCGAGCCAGAGTCTTTTAAGAGATCCTGACAAGTTTTCAGCTGCTCCTGTGTGTTCTTTGCCACGTTGTCTGCTTCACAGAGTTCTCAGGAAAACCAAAAAACTAAAAATAAAAAAAATAAAAATAAAAATAAAGATCTTAGAAGAAAAAAAAAAACAAAACAGTAAACTGCCCGGGTAGAGATTTGGATTGCGCAAATTTATTCAGAAATGTTTGATAGGTGCTTGTGCCCTTTGCCCCATAGTTTAACAGCATGCCCAAAGGAGGTTCTTAGGAGGTTAGACGTTCTACTCCTTTTCATACTGTTGAGCTTAGCCTTGTTGAGGGTGTTCATGTAGCTACTCTGTTCCTTGTAGTAACACAGTAATAATACTCCTCAGACAAATTCCCAAGGTAGAGAGAGAAAGACAGCTTCTGGTACGACATACCTGTGCCTGGAAACGCGTTTGCTTCGTGGTGAGCAGAGCTCACCTTCAAGCTGGGGGACCGAGGGGATAGCGGGTATTGAGATGTCTCAAGTAGAGCCTAACTCCCCACTACTGCATTGTTGGTGTTCACCCAAATGAAATCTACCCGAAGTGGATTCAAACGTCTTCCCCCCCCCCCCCCACTTCTCAAGTGTTCCAAGACCTGCGGACGAGGAATGAGGAAACGTGAGGTCCTCTGTAAGAACTCCGCAGCGGAGACGCTCCCCGAGAGCCTGTGTTCGGGCAGCCCCAGGCCCGAGGCCCAGGAGGGCTGTGTGCTGGGGCGCTGCCCCAAAAACAACCGGCTCCAGTGGATGGCATCTTCGTGGAGTGAGGTAAGAGTTGAGGTACACAACGGGGGAGGGGGTGATTGTCACAAACACCCCCACGCTCACCTGCACCCGCATGGCTGCTTTCTTCGCCTACACGAGCCACGTGCCCACTTCCTGTTGGTTCTTTACCTTGTTTCTGCGGTTAGAAAACGCAGAGAGATGAATGCTGGTGTTCCCCTTCCTTTCTCACTTTATTTAGTTCAGGACCCCAACCCATGTGCTAGCAGCACCCACATTTAGAGCGGAGCTTCCATCTTCATTTAACGTTATCTGGAAATTCCGGAAGTACGGTCCTCTGGTTATTTTAAACCTAGTCAACCTGACAATGAGCATCCTAACTGTGAGGAGCTTAATGGCCACACAGCTGTTCCTTCTGTGCGCTTCTGTTCCAAGTGATAAGCACTGGCCCATGTCACGAATGAAATCCAGCAGTGTGTCCTGTCTCCTCACAGTCATTTTACAGAGCATTATCACCACATAACCAATGAAAAATGTGTCCTCTTTGCAATTAGCCATCGGTATGCATTGCACAGGTAACATTGGGTTAGTTTCCGGTTCTTCCTCTTTATAATGGAGCTAACATTCATCATCATAGTTTGTGATATTTATTCTGATGGATTGATATGTTCACTTCATCAGGACCCCATAGGTTACCTAATAGTTCTCTCTCATGTTTCTCTCTTTCCCTCCGTAGTGTAACACAGCCTTAGAACAGATCTAGGTAAAAGTAAAGACATGAAGTTAGTCCATCGAACATGGTTCTGTCTTAATCATTTTCCTTCCTCCGCTCAAACCTGCCACCCCTCAGAGAGGTCTCAGGTAGTCTTGGTCACTAGGGATGGAGGCTGATGAGAAATCAAGTGTATTTTAAATCACTTCAAAATAGGCTGGAGAGATGGCTCAGAGGTTAAGAGCACTGGCTGCTCTTCCAGAGGCCCTGAGTTCAATTCCCAGCAACCACATGGTGGCTCCCAATCATCTATCTATAGTGAGCTCTGGTGTCCTTTACATGCAGTCAAAACACTGTATACAAAATACATAAATCTAAAAAAAGAAAAAACTATTACAAAATAATAGTATTTACACCGTAAATAAATCAGTGGCCTCAGTTCCACACGAACAGGGATGAACAGGGATCTGTCCTTGTAACTAAGGGAAGTGAGGGACTTGGCTGCCATATCATCTCATTGACTTTGTGTGGACACACAGCTCAGCAGATTTGGCTGTGGAGCTCTGCCCTCTTACACCTCCCTTCTGGGCTCCTAGTGTTCTGCCACCTGCGGTTTGGGTGTGAGGAAGAGGGAACTGAAGTGCATTGAGAAGAACTTGCAGGGGAAACTGATAACATTCCCAGAGCGGAGATGCCGAAACATTAAGAAGCCAGGACTGGAACTGGAAGAAACCTGCAACCGAAGGGCTTGCCCAGTGTATAGTGTGGTGGCTGGCTGGTATTCATCACCGTGGCAACAGGTTGGTATATGCAAATTTAGGAGGCCGGTGTTCAAGTGAGGTAGGGCAGAAGAGCACTGTTCTTAGCCCATTGTTCTTGTCCCACTGTACGAGTTGGAATGGCTGACAACCTTTGACCTGTCGCATCCTCTGTGTGAGCCTGGCCAGGTACCGTGGCAACCATATTTTTCAGACCTAGGAAACTGGAATAATAAGTAAAACATTGAAATAGAAATCCTATGACATTGTGCTCATGTTGACTGTTGCCACTCTTGAAACCATCACTTTGGGCACTTTGGGCACTTTGCTCTCCACCCCTGGTCCCTGGTTGTAAGAGTATGTTTCTGAAGAACAACAACAACAACAAAAAGAACTAAATTTTGCCTGTGACTTCTGCTCATGCTCTACATGCACTTTCTTATTCTATCTTTGCATTAATTCTTGTGTTAGCCATTATGGTCCCATTTTGTGGGCAAGGAAGGCAAGGCTTAGAATGTTTAGCCATTGGCTGACAGAGACATGTTTTCTGGGGAACACTAGCTGGTCTCTGTAAGAACTGAAGGCTATGTGGAAGTCCTTGAGACTGTGATACTGCAGAACTCACTGATGTGACAACAGCTGCTTGTCACACCCTTAGACACAGGGCCTAGTGGTACCTGTGTGTGTAATATAGAAAGGTACATTGAAAATAAACCACCAATTAAAGGAAATTGAGTATTTCTCACTGACTAGGCATGGTAAGATACACACACGCTGCTGTATAGGTTTCTTAGGTTTTTATGACTTTCTATAACATTTATAATTTTTTAAGCTTTATGAAGCCCATTAGAACCCATTACTATATACATAATAGCTATAAAGACATTTCCCCATGGAAGAATCATATACTTTGGTCTGAACAAGGAGATATGATTATAAAAGGCAGCCAACAAATGCCAGGAAGCCAGATGTTTTCCTGCTCAGACACCTGCTATTGTACATTGAAGACTTAACTTGTAGACCCAAATTTTATTGTATCTTTTAAAATATGGCAGACAATTTGATGGCAATCATAAGTCTATATCTGAGTGTTGAGGTAATAGCTAAATGTATCTTCTTTCTGCCAAAATTTACTTTTCTTCCCAAATACCAGGCCACACAGTAGTATTTGCACAGAATATGTTCTCATCTGTCTGCAGTCCATTCGAGAACAAAACAACAATGATCCATTTAAAAGGGTTGCCTTTCACCCTGATATTTCTTTATTGCTCTTTTGTTAAAGATACATCAACAAGAGCAACAGAGCCAAAAAACCTGGGCACAGGGATCTTTTCTGAGGCTGATACTCCAACCAGGGACCATGCATGGAGATAACCTAGAAGCCCTGCACAGATGTAGCCCATGGCAGCTCAGTGTCTAAGTGAGTTCCCTAGTAAGGGGAACAGGGGCTGTCTCTGACATAAACTCAGTGGCTGGCTCTTTGATCATGTCCCCCTGAGGGGGAAACAGCCTTACAAGACCACAGAGGAAGATAATGCAGACAGTCCTGATGAGACCTGATAGGCTAGGGTCAGAGGGAAGGGGAGGAGAACCTCTCTTATCAGTGGGCTATGAGAGGGGCATGGGAGGAGAAGAGGGAGGGAATGCAGGATTGGGAGGGGGTTAGGGAGAGGGCTACAGCTGGGATACAAAGTGAATAAACTGTAATTAATTAAAAAATTTTAAAAAATAAACACACAAAAAACGATCCATCAACTTTTCATGTAGCCACTGCAAACCAAAAAAAAAAACAAAAAAACAAAACAAAAAAAAAACAAAATAAACAAAACAAACCTTAGAGCCTAGACTCTTTTTAATTGTACAGTGAAATCCCTGGCTGTTAGGTACGGTGCTACCTCAGAGCCTGGCTAAGCATCATCCCAAAGACTCCCTGGTTAGTATGTCCTATATGGCCCTTGTTTCAAACCAACCCCATTCATTCTGGCATCTGTCTGAGATTGCCTGGGCTTCTTAGACTCCATCCCCTTATGAACCCCTGAACTGACTACACACCCTCTCTCTCGGGTGCAATAGTCTTTGCCCATGACTTTTCTAATAAACGGGCACAGCACCCACCAGGGTGGATAGACTTGGACCATATGCCTGGCTGAGGTCCGTGTCACCTGCAGTCCTTTTGGTCATGATGATTGTGCTTCCTTCCATATGATGACACTCACCTCAGACAGGAAACTGTCCAACTGAGCAGGCCTAACTCTCTTCTCTCCCCGTCCTTGGCAGTGCACAGTAACCTGTGGGGGAGGGGTCCAGACCCGATCTGTCCACTGCATGCAGCAAGGCCGGCCTTCCTCAAGTTGTCTACTCCATCAGAAGCCTCCAGCACTCAGAGCTTGTAATACAAACTTCTGTCCAGCTCCTGAAAAAAGAGGTAAAGTGCCTTAGGCCCCGTCAGTTTCATCCATTTTAAGAAAGCTTTTCCCATAGCTCAGTATGGTTGGTTGTGTAGCTGCACAACTCTATAGTACTCTCTTCCCATCAGCACCCATTGGGCTGCATTCTTAGACTTGTCCAAGGCCAGACCTGGGGCTGTCAATGTATGATCCATAGGCAATAGGTTTTCCAGCCCTTCTTTCTTGGGAAATGATCATATCTCATTCTCCCTTTTTAAGATGAGATATTAAGAGGTGGGAGATGTCAGTCCCTTGTAAGAGTGCTAGCCTAGCTTGCATGAATCCCTGGATTTGATCCCCAGTGTGACGTAAAATCAGGCAAAGTTGTGCACCCCCACAGTCCTAGCATTTAGGAAGATTAGAAGTTTGGAGTCATCTTTGGCTACAAAGTTGAAGCCAGACTGGGCTACACAAGACTTTTCCTCAAAAATATGTGACTTTTTGCTAATCAGTGTAAGTATAAAAGGAAATAAAAATTTCCCCAGAGGAGCTCATATTTTTATAGGTAAGACAGAACCTACAGCCCATTAAAAGGACTGTGCATCATCCTGTGTTCTCAGTCTGTTCCAGAGCAGAGCTGCAGGAGCTGATGGGTAATTCGGAGCGATGCTTAGAAATCCAAGTCATTCTGTCAAGGACCAGGAAGTAGCTCTGTCAGATCAGGTTTCATGATCCTGAGGAGTCGTTCTCCAGCTCACATCTGCTGGGATTGCTTAATCCAGTCACAGATTTTCCAGCCTGCTGAATCTCAGCCCACTTTTGCAACTGTGGCCAATAATATTTGGCAGCGTTAGTTACTCTCCTTCCTCTGCCCCCCCCACCCTACCTGCATCACTTCTCATCTCTGTTGCACTTGACTGGCCTCATGGCTCAGGGCATCCGTTTTCTTTCCCCCTTTTTCCTATGTTAGCCTGTGTGACTGTGTAACGGAGGGATGGACGAAATAGGGTCACCTCTAATCAACGCTGGGATTCTATATGGAGGAGAATTTAGAGTGATGGGGCATCTTCTGCCAGATCCTGTCTCCCTCCTGTCTATCTCTGCAGTCAGACCACCCTAGAAGGAATACAACCCCTGGGTACTCTGGTTAGTCCTGGGAGCAGCTCTCAGACAGATGCAAGGGAGAAAAGAGCTCTTGTTAAGTTTCTGTTTTCCCACCATCTGAAACTCACCTGGCTCTCAACAGCCACTAACTCTGTAGTAAATGAATTTGTTTCAGTCATATATAAAGGTCACTAAAGAACCATGTATCCCCCAGACTCTCACTAATAAAACAATGTAGCAAGCAGAGTACTATTCTGAAGTTATAATGCTCTCACAGCCTTGAGCGAGGCACAGCAAATTCCCACCTTGAGAAAGAGGTATGATAACCAGGCTTGATAGGGTGGTCAAGCCAGACCCCAGAATCGAGACACCTTTTGAAGAGGGCCTCCAGGAAGTAAGGAAGGTGAACTTTGTATGGGCTCAGCAGAGGAAAGGTCAAATGAAAAGGAATGCAAGATACTTACAGTAGGAACACTGTTGAAACTGTACAGGCACAAACCAAAAGTGGTACAGGGGCCTTATCAGTCTCAGCCATCGGATTTGCCTGGATTAGGTCGAGAACCATGGGGTCTGAGAGGTCGTGAACCATGCGTCGCCTGGAGGAGAATGGGAACAGGACTTCCTCATGGAGAGGTGACTGCTGCTCTCTGAGGAGAGGTGGAGCTTCTTTTTCAGGGAGTAGTAAGAAGAGGTAGAAAGTTGGGTGGGTTTTGAAGATTCAGCCAATGGTGCCTGCTGCTTCTCTGCAAGCACGGAGGGAAGCAAAGGAAAGAGATCTACAGTCAGCCTCCACAGCGTAAGCCAGCTGCCTGGTTCATACTCAGCTAACCAGCCATTCATAACTGTTCTTATCCCCAAACATTCACAAAGCGAAATACCATACACACCATACACACATGTCACGCTGACCCTTCTCGGCTCTGCCTCCTGGCTTATGCAGAGCCCATGGCCCCAGATGTAGGCTTTTGTTAAAGTTCCATTCTTTTCATAGGAGAGATGGCTTAGTGGTTGAAGGCACTGGCCTCTCTTCCAAAGGATTGCATTCAATTCCCAGCACCCACATGGCAGTTCCAGGTAATCTGATGCCCTCTTCTGGCCTCTATGGGCATTTCATGCATGTGCTGCATAGACATACATGTAGATAGAACACTCACACATGATTTTTTAACAAATTTTTAAGAGAGGTGAGAATTGAAAGCATAGTGAGATTAATCAGGAAATGGAAGTACATGCCTATAATCACAACATTTAGGAGACAGAGGCAAAAAGCATAGCCACAAGTTCAAAGCTACCCTGGGGTATAAGACAAGACCTTCCTTCAAAAGAATGCAAAAATAAGTAACCATGAGGTCAGGACCATATCATCTTGCAAAACTTCTATGGTGCCAACAGAATAATCTAGAATATAAATAGAATGACTAAGGTACAGGTGCATAAAAACTGATCTGGGACATCAGATACTAGACAGGTAATAATTGAACTTGTGGATGTGTAACAGTGTATTACATACATATAAGTTAGGCAAATGGAATATGGCTGAACCTTTACCTTGCTGTAGGACTTGAATCTTGAACCTATTATATCTCAAAGCAGCTTCCTGGTGCCTCAACCTCAGCCTGTAGGACTGCCCATTTCAGGGGACAAAACTCCATTCTTCCATATGACGACTTAAAAATACTGTTATTATTTCTTTCACATCATTTACCAAGTCTCGGCTGGTAAAAGCTATCAACACTGACTTCAGTGTGTGCGTGTGTTTGTCCAGGAGTCACTGGAAAGCAAATAGCCCGCCTCATTTTCTTTTAACCTACGTTCCTATACCATATGGTTTAATTTGATTATTTTGGCCACTGTGAATATTTTTTCCAAAGAAAATCTTTTATTTAGACAGCACTCGTATTTCTGTAGGGCTGATGGACAGGACATGACAAGTGTAAAACTAAATCTTCTGCTGCCCAGGGCTCACTGTTCAGTACCAGTTTTGAAACCCATGAGCGGGAGCATGATGCTCAAGCCGGTGCAAAATGATGACGATGTCCTGGGAGTAAAAAGAGCTGATGCTTTAAAAATATAGTTATCTAAAAACGACTTTGTGATTGGCGCTATTTTAAGTATTGGGAAGAAACCAATGAGGAGTCGAGACCAAGGCCCTGATCTAAAAGATTTTGTGTTCTGGAGGACAGTCAGAGTCGGCAACCACATGGTGAGAAGGGTGGAAAAGCAAGGAGAGTGGGGACACTCCATGGTAGCCAAGAAAGAAGTAGGCTGGTTTGTTGAGGGGCAGAGGAAAGAGAAGAAACCCCGCTACCATTTTAGGGAAAGCCTGCCTTGGCAGTAAATAGGGGAACAGTAATCAGCGCTCACTGGTGCATCGTGGGCTGGCAACAGGGCTCCTGTGGCTGAGTTTGGAAAGAGAGAAGTAGATGAAAGGGTGGAGTCAGACTGACTCTGGGTCCTAAAGCTTCAGCCTCCAGAGCAATCACCACACTTGAACTATGGAGGGAAGGTAAGGGGCATGACAGGAACTGATTTGTGTCTGAAAGGGATTCCTGGGAAGGACTGAGATGTGAAAGGTCATAAAAAGGAAATTCTGGATACAAGAACCTGGAACTGAAGGAACCGTAGGCAGGTGTGAGTCTCAGAGATGATACAAGCTGGAGCCCATACAAAAGGAGTCAGGGGAGTCTCGGGAATTTATGGCACACCCAAAGGCAAGAGGAGAGTAACTAAGATGCTCCTATGAAAGGCTCATGTCCATGCCAGCTGTCAGGCTATATGCAGGCAAGATGACATGACCTCCTACTGGGTATGGCTTCTTTTTTAACACTGGCCTCCCCAATTTAAATTTTGCTAACGGACACAGTCCCTTTTGGCATCTTAATCCTGCCCTGACAAAATTCAAATGTATCATGGGCATAACACACAGACAGACAACGCAGTGGTCTAGGTCCCCATCTTAGTAAGAGGGCTGAAGCCCTGGGTGATGTGCTAAATGCTTTCTGTCCTTTCAGATGATCCAGCCTGCATCGATTTCTTCAGCTGGTGTCACCTGGTCCCTCAGCACGGGGTCTGCAACCACAAATTTTATGGAAAACAGTGCTGTAGGTCATGCACAAGGAAGAGTTGAAGCCAGAGGGCCCCCTCGCCCTCCTCAGACCGTACACGTCTGTCTCCAGGTCTTTCTACCAAGACTTCAAACCACAGAGGAACTACCATAGGGTTTGAAGAATGGACAGATAGCCACCAGCCTCCTTAGTCGATCCTGGAAGCACATGGTACTCTAAGGCACTTGACAATGAGAAGCGATGACAAATCCAACTTTAAAAAAAGAAAGAAAGAAAGAAAGATAAAAAAGAAAGCCTTTGATTTGCACTGTCATTTGGAAAAGAAGATGTGTAATACTGAGATAAACCAAATTTTCGTTTTGATAATGTGGGAATCCTGACTTCAGGACGGATCTAGTCCCCACACACGTACTCTTGAACATCAAAGGATTCAATGGAAAAAAAAACAAAACAAAACACCAAAACATCTATTTTAAAAAAAATTCTTCAAGGCTTCAGGTTAAGGACTGAGCCTCAGACCCATCGAATATGTGGATGAAACTCTGACTAACAGTTGCTTGGAATTTATAGTGTCAAAATCTGACGCCAAACGGTGCTCAATGGGTGCTTGCTGCTGGACTGGCAAGCTTCATCTTATGGTTATTTTGTGTGTTTTGTTGTTTATTTGGTTTCAAGTATGTTCTGCCTGTAGAGAGTCTCCAAGACTAAAATTAACAACTTGAAACTCATTCCCAGTAGCATTTTGGAAGCAGGGCCACTTGGACTATTTAAGTTCTCCATGTAATTAAAATTCACACTTGAAGGGGAAAAAACCCCTCAAATATTGGTGCCCTTCACCTGACATCGACCTCATAACTTTTGGTGCTTAGTGAATGGGAATGTGGGAGGCTGGTGCCTGCTGTATGAGAATAAGAATTGGCGACATATTCATTTTTGGTGAAATAGGCACTAACTGGTGAAATAGCATGCTTGAAGGAGGGAAGCCCACCATTTATAATGTTCCATACATATTATCAGAAGGCTTAGAAAATTAAAGGCTGCTTGTGGGTTTGGTTTTTTTGGTTTTTTTTTTTTTCCTACCAACTGACGAGTTTCAATTTTCTCCAGGACTTGGTCAACAAGGAAAAAAATAAAACACAGCGGCCAGAGAAAAATTCATCTGTCTTTTTGCTACATTAATAAATTACAACTCACCAAGCCCTTCCATGAAAAACAGTATTTCACCATGTCTCAGACGAGAGTTTGGTTATTGGGAACCAGCTGTTGATGGGCATTAACAAGCTTAAAATTGTTCTCAATTGGAAAAACACTGCACTGTTTTGCCAAAACCAGAGTAACTTAAAAGACTGTGCCCCCCCCCCCGTAATTCTTTGAGAAGTGGGTCTAGAGGGTGTGTTTATATGCTACTCATCTTCCCAACTTCTTTGATGAATGTACACTTATTTTTACTGCTTTTCAGAGTCTTGGTTCAAACAGGGGTTTGCCAGCTCAGCAGAACCAGCGAGACACTGGTCTGTTAGGTTTAAAGCATTCTTTATCCCCATCCTAGTGCGAATCATGAATATTTGGATGCCATCAAAGTGAAGAGGAATAGCTTGGCCTTCTTGGCTTGGCCTTTCAATAGCCATTTTGATATGAGAAGATTAAAAAAAAAAGAAAGACCCACACTACCACTCTCTTGCTCTCTGAAAAGTGGGAAGTTATTTGTTTTGATATAATTATCATTTTATTATTTTATGGGAAAGAATTAATTTATTAATAGCCTATTATATGTTCTCACTTGCTTCTCGAGTAAATGATATTCTGAGGGAAAAATGTTGAATTAAGAAAAAACATGGATTATAGAAAAAAGTCAAAATATATGTGTAATATTTAATTATTTTATAAGTTTTATAATAAAGTATTCTGTTTCTTTATCCTTGAAACTTGTTAAGTTCTTGAACAACTCGGTGAGAAGTTGGTGGTTTCCAGGTTAATTTAATTATCTAAATGTTGATGGAGAAACTCAGTAACTTTACTGAGGGGCGAAGGGAAGAGCTTTCAGATGGGTTTGTTACCTTTGTACATAAGGAAGTAAAATGTTCAATACTGATGCATTTGGGGCCAGATGGCTCTGCAGATAAAGGCACCGGGTGCCAATACTGATGACCCGAGTCTGATCCCTGGAACCCGCACTGTGGAAGCAGAGAACTGACTCCTGAAATCTGTCTCCTGACCTCCACACACATGCTCTGACACACGCACGCGTGCAGCCCCACAAACACAGATGAATAAATGTGAAACAAACTTGAGGATCTCCAGACCTGATGTTCTGCTGTATTAAGCAGATAAACATTTGCATATGGAACTCATTGAATATAAAGTCACTAAAGCTACTACTTCCTATTTGAAAGGCATTCTGGGAAAATACTTTTATCCAAATGTAAGGGAGGGAGGAGAGAATAGTATTTACAGGATGAGACAGGACAGGGAGAAGAGAAAAAAAAGAAAATATTACTTAAACAGCATGTATTTTCAGGCTTCCCAAATTTTAATCATCAGACCTATAAAGAATAAAAACTTTCTGTATGAAGTAAATCCAAATAACCTGAATATCCAGTATTTCCTAGCATTTATGATCACACACCAGGCATAACTCTAAAATATATTTAGGAATATCGTGGTATGAATTATTATTGAAGAAGAAAATAAAACTAAGGTTAAGAATGGAAAGTGAAAGCAAGAAAAAGCTAACTTTATATCTTTTGGTAATAGAGTATGATTCGGAGAGATTCATTAGGGTTTAATGGCTCCCAGGCCCTATGTACAACACTTTTATATACATTATCTTATTGAATGAACACAATAGCTCAATTAGGGAGATACAAGTCCATTTGTTTAAGGGAAGGCATCTGGGATTCTGAGAGATCACATATTTGACCCTGAGGCAAATGGCCAGCTTGTGATGGGGGTCAAGACTCGAACCCAGACCTCTTGGGGCTCTTCTGTCACAATCCTTGGAAACATAAAGAAAATAGGGAACACATAGGCTTTGGAATCATGGCCCCTAAGATGCATGTGAATAAGACTTTAGTGATAAATGACTTTAATGATGATGAATTATGGGCAGAGCTGGAAATTTAAGATGAGGAATCGGGGTGGAAGGCAATAAATTCCTGCTAAGCCCCTCTCTTCAGCAGAGAATACTTGAAGACTTGTTACATAGTTAAAAACTCTATTCCATAATAATAGCTTTTCTCTGGGATTATAGTGTTTCCTGGGCAATAACACCAGAGTGTCTGGAGCCTGCAACTCCCCAGGATCATCAGGATGGAGGGAGAGCATTCAGGGATGCTCTTGGCACGGGCTTTGTTCTAATAGTAGGCAGAGATGACCCTGCGGCCGTGACTATCATGCTGAGAGTGGTTTGTAGTATTCAGATCATAGAGGCTATTGCTGTAAATGTCACAGGGAAATAAATAGTCATTTGCTTATGGGTCTCATGACCTTACCTTGAAAAATATAGACACAGGGACTGGAGAGGTGGCTCAGCGGTTAAGAACACATATGCTCCTGCAGAGGATGTTAGTTCAGCTTCTAACCCATGTTGGGAAGCTCAAAATAACTTGAAAATCATGCTCCCAGTGTTCTTACATTCTGGCCTTTGCAGGTTCCTGCACTTGAGTGTGTAAACAACACACACACACCTAAAAACAATACAGTACATACCACATGCAGTGGTCTATGACTTTAACTATAGCACTGGAAAGGCAGAAGCAGAGGAAGGTATATTTCTGTGAGTTTGAGTATACCCTGGTTTACATAGTTCCAGGTTGGCCAAGGTTACATAGTGAGACTGTGGCTCAATAATAATAATATTTATTATTATTATGGTAATAATTAATATTAATAATAATAATCACCATTATTTTTTCCTTTAAAAATATAGGAAAGGATCCTATGCTCTAGCTTCTTTATGTTTATCCTAAGATTTTTAATTCTTCAAAAACCTTGGTGGTCTACACTGGTATTGGATATTGCATTGATGTGCCTGTCAATAAGCAGCTTATGGGAGAAAGGGATTCTTTCTGCTTACTGCTAGAGGGGTCATAGTCCGCCATGGTGGAGAAGGCACAGCAGGAAGCACCTCGTTGGTGCTGGAAGCTTCTGGTATGTGTTTTTTGCATCTCCAGAGGACAGCAGAGATGAGACAGGAAGCTGAACCAGGCTATCCATGGCAAAGCTTCTTCTAGTAACCCACTTCCTCCAGCTAGGCTTCCATTTTCTAAATGGGCCACAATTTCCCAGAACAAAGCCATCAACCGGAGACCAACTGTTCAAACATGAGCCTGTGAGGAGAAGTTTATATCCAAACTATGGCAATCCTGGTGCTCCTTTTCATCAGTCACCCTTATACGCATGTGATGGAGACTTCCTCCTCTGCAGAGGGTCTAGATACGGAAATAATCATTTTCTCTGAAGAAAGTGTTTTAAAAGGTAAATGTTTTATAATACCCTCAAGTGGAAAAATCTGTAATGCATGGTATAAACCAGATATAACTAGTCAACAACAACAAAAAATTGCTAGGGAGATGGCTTAGTCTTGAGAGCATTTATTTTTCTAGAGGACCTGATTTCAGTTCATAGCATCCACATCTAGTAGCTTTCAATCTAACTCCAGAGGGGATCTGATGCTCTCTTCTGTTCTCTATAGGCACCTGAACACATCACACACACACATACACACTTAAAAATTAAATACTGATTGGGCTACAGATGTGGTTCAGGAGCAGAACATTTGCCAAGCATGTTTGAAGTGTCATGCTCGGCCCAGAAAAAAAAAAAAAAAAAAAAAAAACTGATTAACATGTATATTGCACATTTTAGTTAAAAAAAAAAAAAAAAAAAAAAAACCTCACGATAAACCCGGTTTACAAATTACTATCTGAAAAAAAAAATTAAAAAAAATCCTCAATGAAGATTGAAATATTTGTAGTTCCTTAAAATCATGATATTTTGTATCTGCATCAGAAGCATCAAGAATAATTATTCTGTTGATGAGATATACTGAATGCCAGTTTCCACTGTATAGACAAAGGGCCAATGATGCCAATGCTAACTGTCCTTTGTGGATGTTGAGAATGATGGTGTGACTTTGGTCCAATAACTTTGTATGCTGAGAAAGCATCCAGACACATGTTCTGGATGTGTCCAGATATTTATTAGTTTCTGTGAAGTAGTGGGCAAGCTGCCTGTCCCCTTCCTAGGACCATCATCCTGTCTGAACATCATAAAGCCATCACTGCTATGTATACATCCCTATGTATTTCCTATGTTAAATACCTAGTTGGGTTTCCCATCAGCTTATTTAATAAAAACATACCATAACTCAGGACTGGGGAGATGGCTCTGTGCTTAAGAACACTGGCTGCTCTTACAAAGGACCTGGATTTGATTCCCAGCATCCACATGGCAGCTCACAGCCATCGGCAACTCCAGTCCTAGTGGATATGACTTCCTCTTCTGGCCTCTTCGGGCAGCAGGCAAGCATGTGCTATACAGACAAATCATCCATAACTTTTTTTTTTAAATAAAGCATTTTATGTGGTTATCAGCTGTTATGATAGTAACATGAGCTTAAACAGCTGTTCTGACATCCTAATGGGGGTGAGAAACATCACTGTCCAGCATCAGGCGGTTCTGAGAGTCACTTTTCTCCACTCCCGTTTCCACACCATTCTGCCTTCCTTCCAACATGCCTTGCCCTGGCACCTCTAGGCACCTCTGCCCTACAAAAGGCTGGAAGTCACCTGACCCCACCTACTACCACATCACAGCACCTACACCATGTTAGAAACTCTGTAGAAGACAACCTCTGTGCTCCGCAAGCCTGCAACCCCACGGTTCCTAGATAATTAAACTAGAGTGAGAATTACGAAGAGCAGAGCCTTTGCTGTGAAGAACTGGAACGCTTGGGGGAGATGTCTCTAAGGGTTAAGATACATCTAAGGGATGTATCAAGGGTGACTTCAGATGAGGAAGGACCCGGATATGCTTCTCCTTGTTCTCCTTGTCTTCACAGAGCTAGAGTACAGGAAACCACTGCCAGTGTTAACGGTCCCTAGCAAGTACCTGGGGGAAGAGGATTCCAGAACACTGTTATTCCTCACATTAGGGGTACAGTGGCTTCTCCTTCTGAAAAGGGAGTCCCCCCCCTTTTGTCTCCATGTCCTTTAAAAAGCACATTGGACGCAGAGTCTCAGAACAATGCTTCTTAACCAACTGGAGCCATCCCCATCACCTAAGGGTATTTAAACTTCCCAGTCCCTTTCAAGAAATTGGACATGTTAATCCTGCAGATGGGGCCTGAGA